CAGCAGGAAACTATAAATATTCTGCAGGAGGCCTGAGGCTCCTCCTCGTTCATTTGAATAACTAGCCCGGCCTAATGAGCTCCTTGGGTCTGTAGACCACGTGACGCTTCCCCGCCCTTCTCCCCCCCCCCAGTCCACCGGCAGGTGAGGGGCGTTGAGGGGCTCCCAGATAACCTGCGCCGCCCGCATGCCGGTTCCTGGCTCGCCGCAGCGAGGCCAGCGGGAGCGGAAACGCCCTGGACGTTTGATAACTGCGATAGCGAGTAATTAAAATAGTAAGTGATTAACGTGCTGTAAATTGTTATCTGAAACATGTACTGTTGATATTTGCTACCGTGCGGATGTGGACGTGAGATTTAGGACCAGTTAACTGCAAATAAAGAAACGCGAGATAAAAGGTCCGGACATGGTGCCCTGCTCTTGGGAACTGGTTTCTGCGCCGTATTCCTGAATTACAGTACACGAACCAGCATACGTCTTTTATTTTTACTTCAATGATTCCTATTTATACTTGATAAAGTACTAGCCCTCCGTAGTCCGATAAGAATACATAAATCTGTCATCACGTCTATTGGTTCAAACGTTATCAATCATTTAAGATAGGTTTGTTGCAGGTTATAAAGATTACGACTGCTAATGAATAAGTAAACTGACGAAAAAAGAATAAAGGATATTTATACAAATGAAAAAAGTACAACGATCGTGACAAAAACTATTCCTTTAAGTAATCTTGAATTATTAAGTAATTGTTTTGAAGAAAATGGCTTGTTGTGTATTGAGTACTGTTATTAATACACAAGAATCGAGATATTGAAAAAGATTGTTAAAAATTTTGTTTTCTGATTAACTATCTTGAATGAACAAGTGAAATGTTACAGTTTTTTGTTAGTTCATTAATTTCGCTATTGAATATCTTAATCTTCCTTAACTTTTTCCGGTAGTTCTTTCATTTCTTAGAATTGTGTCTGAATTTTTCCCCTAGAATATCTTATCGTAATGCAGTAAAGGAAGCAGTCAGAATTTTTTTCTCTAACCCCTTTTATTTTTAACTCTTATCAGAACAGCACGTCTCCATGCATACTAATAGAGCCTACATTGCATTGAGAGCATTCTTAATAACACGCAAGTTCCAAAATTCAACTTTGCTCATTTAAAAACAGCTCTCTGAAACGTTTTCCATACTACACGAGGGTTTTTAAATTTATTTATTCCCTATCTCAGGAAGGATCAGACATCACAAAACCCTCGGCCTCACAAAACTTCTTTAAAACTTCACGAACCACTTTCCCTCGAGGAAGAATGAGACTATCTCCTCCTGGATATCTCGGAGCGTAATTCTTTGTCGACACGTCGATCTCGGGGTCTGGTGTAAGGGCAAGCAATACTGCGTCGCTTTAGCGTGCAGAATAAGTCCTTTTTTCGCCGTTTCGTGAAGGGTCGCGAACGTGGCGCGCTTTTTAACACGAGCAGGCCGAGTTTTGAAACAGCTGCCAGCGGCGCGGTGCAGACACGCGACCTCGTTAGCGAGGTGCGTTTCTTTGGACGGCGGGGGCCCGCGCATTGTTTACAGGGAGTAAATCTCGCGGTATTTACCGCCGCCAGATCAAACGTGCGGAGACGGCGTCGCGGATGCCTGACGTTCGCCAGGCCGACCGTTTTCCGTGGGCGATGATGGCAAATTACTCCAGGGAACTCGAGCTGGTCGCAGTGGGGTTTAAGAATTTTAGTCCGACATAATTGTGGTACCATTTTAATAACAACAGTAGGGAAAAAATGTTATTTTAGGTTAAGAAATATTAGTAAAAATATATCTTACGTTAACTTGGTATCTATGTATTTACTATTAGCATGAATAATGGCAAAAAATTGCTATAAATTAAACGTAAGCATACATAACTGATACGAAAAAAAGCTTTTCCATGTTTTTTTTTATTTTTACCAGATTTTCAAGATAATCTGGGGAAAATAAAAACAGGCAATTCGTTAGCCACCTTCCTTCATTTCTTAGTTCCTCTTGTTACTGTTCCCTTCATACTTTTAATTAATTAGGCATCGGGACAGGCGTTTCGGACGACACCGTTTTCATCTTTCCGAACAGTAGAGTAGTTTCTGAGTCATTCGCCTAGTTTCCCCGCAGCGACGCCGCTCGCCTCCCCCCCGCGTGTTGCCGGGGCGCACCTGCGCGCGGCGCCGAGCCAGCGGCGCGCACTTATCGCCCGCCGGTTTATTTGCCACGCTAAACCGCGTTGCCTCGCGCGGACGCGTCGTAAATTGCCGCCGAGTGAGGTATTTGCTTGGTCACGCGCGGCGTGGCGGAAATATTTACCGCGAGAGCGAGCCGACCGGCCCGGCCCGTGCGTCGCCACGCTGCCTGCGATCCGGGGGTCTACGCTTCGCGAGGCGATGCGACGGGGGGCGCGCTGTCGCAGGACGGGGCGAGGCGGGGTGGAGCGGGACGGAACGGTGCGGTCCGAGAGAAGCGGGACGGGACAGGGTGGGGAGGGGCGGGGCCGGAACGCGGCGTGGCGGAGATGGAGAGTGACGGGTTGGGACAGGGTGTGGTGCTGGTTGGAGCGAGATGACTGGACTGGAGGGGTCGTAAGGTGAAGGGGAGGGAGAGGCGTAGACTGTTGGAGGTTGGAGGGAGATCGTAGAAGTTGTGCGAGACGGGTACGGAAGGGGATGGGAGGGGATGGGCAGCAGCGGGCGGGGCGGTGCGGGAGGAGAGCGGAGCGGGCGTGAGGTGGAGTAAGATGGGTAAGATGGGCCGAAGAAGAAAGATAAGGTACGGGCGGGACGAACGAGGACGAGAACGGAACGAGATGGGGATGAGACGGCAGCAGACGGGACGAGAAGGGACGGGGCGGTACGGGGCGGCATTTGGATGGGACTGGAGGGGACGGGGCGTAGCGAGGCGAGCGGGGGGGCCGGAGGATGGTGCGGGACGGGACGGAGTGGGGGGGAACGGGAAGAGACGGAGCGGGACCGAGACGGACGGGACGGGACGAGACGGAGCGGGACGGGACGAGAACCGGGGCGGCCGAGACGGAGCGGGACGGGAGGGACGGGAGGGGAACGGGAGGGACCGGGAGGGGACGGGAGGGGAACGGGAGGGGACGGAGCGGGACGGGACGAGACGGAGCGGGACGGGACGAGACGGGCGGAACGAAGACGGCGCGGGACGGGAGGGACGGAGCGCGGACTGGAGCGGGCGGAGCGGTTCGGGTCGGGGGAGACGAACGGGATAGTCGTCGCGGGGTGCGGGTCGGGGTCTCTCCTCGGGCGGCGCACGTGCCGCCGCAACCGCAATCCGCAGCGCCGCGCCGGAAGGTATTTCTGCGCTTGCGAACGCATTGAGCGCTGTTGCGGTTTCGGCCTGTGAACGTCATGGACTGACTGCGCGGGGGAGAGGAGGGGCGAGACGTCACTCCGGAGCTCTGCTCTACTTTTCAAAGGTACCGCTTCGCAATCATCCACCAGGAACGGAAATATTAAGTACAAATGCTGGACTGCCTGCCTGCTTCTAGAACATTTGTTTTGCCAACATGAATACTGTGAATAAATACAATACCGTCATTTAATTAGTTTACACGTAATTATAATTAATATTCTATTGTGAAAAGAGTGAAAAAACATGCGAATAACTCACCATAAAAAGTGTCCGTGATAGGTGAAGGCGAAGACACACTGAATAGGCAGTATTCCCAATTCTCGTTTATTACAGTACACTTCTTCATGAAATATTATACTTGAAATGCGATGGCAGAGTACGCCAATCATATTACATACTTGATGAATAAAGTTCTTACGAATTTGGGCCTACGTGAGAAGTTGCTGTTTCTCTATGGAATTCTCCCACGCAGTGATGTTTTACCAGGATAATGACAGGTTCAAATACCCACCTGTTGTCAGCCTAGTCTTCTGAAAGACCAGAAATGTTCACAGAAGTTATTCTTAGTATGACGAGACATTACTTAATACAGTTTCATTATTATAGTCTTAAATATGATATACCCTGCACATCGTTTTAATGCCTAAACGCATAGCTGATTACAACTGTTATACAAATATTTCCCTACAATATTTTTTACCAAGCTGCCAAGTAACCTGATGGTGCTTTTAATTGTGCTGGACACAATTATCTATTAAGAGAAAAGAAATGAATTTGTGAAGTGTAAAAATTGAACGTTACTTCATATCATCACCCGTCTCACTCCATTCATACCCCCCCACTTTCTGCCTAAAACCCTACCGCACCCAATATTACGCCGCGTCGCTCCATCCCGGCCCCCGGCTCCGCGCAGCCCCCCCGCCCCGCCACGCCACGCCCGCCCGCCCCGCCCGCCCGCCCCGCACGCCCCGCCAGCCCCGCCACGCCCGCGCCACGCCGACGCCTCGCCTGGCGCGCGCCGGACATTCCCCGTTCGCACCGGCTCTTTCGATCCGCTGACACGCAACCCGTGGTCACCAGATGCTTAGTGAATTGCTTTAAACCAAACGAAGTTACAAAACCCGATTTTGTCTCCCTTCACAGGAGATTTTGTAAACATTCTTTTCATATATTATAAAAGGAACCTATATTCTATAAATTACATCATTTTCTTAGATGTCACCCTATCAAGCTTCAAAAATATTGAACCTATAATAATACTTAGGAAAATGATTTTTGACATGATTTCTTCCATGTACATCACTGATTAATATATAATTATTGTGTAACAAGAGTGCACAAAAGCGATATCAGAAAAGGAAGGAGGGCAGAGTTTCCAAGGTATACGACCAATTGCACTCGGGTCCGAAGCATGTAATGCGTCCCTTCTAGCAGGGCAGCGCGGTGGGAAGAGGGTTGATGGGGCGCGCGAGGGGGCCAGTGGCCGCGTATCGGAGGCCAGAAGCGACCGGGCTGCCTCGGGGCAGGTGGAGTGCTCTCGGCCATCGGCGCCGTCATTACCGGTCCCCTGGCGCCGCGTGGCGGCCGGTCGGCGCAGCTGGCCCATTACCTCGAGCCACTCTGCTCGCAGGCCACCCAGCCGACCGCCGCCCTCCGCCAATGGGCAGGGCACTTGGGCTTCCACTGCACCGCTACTTTGCCGGGTCGACGAAGGGCCACCGCCGAGTCCCCGATGCCGCTCCAAGCACTTTCCTGAACAACAAACGTAGAGTATTAATTGCGGAAGAAATTGTTCTTTATTGGTGTAAATTGATGCATTCCCAAGAGCTTTTCACTTAATCAAAATTATAGAAATTGGAGAAAAGTAACAGTAAAAAATTGAATACATTGATTGTTACATATATGAATTGTTTTGGGTAAGAGATTGAAAACCTTAACAAATTCATTGATACATTACTGATAGACATGCATTATCCAAATTCTTTCAATGCTGAAAATGTGCAGTTACATATCGTTTCATTTCATGAATTGAATGAAGATTTTTTATCATGCTACTTCACCCTGCTTACTTACTAATATTGATATCTAAGACTCATCACTAACAGTTTTATATAATATAACTTTTAAGCGTGTGAGGCAAAGTATCCATATCCAGTAGAGCTCAAATGTGTTCTTTACTAGGCTTCCGCATCAGAAAGCTCGTCAGGAATTGTAATTTTATCCATGGCTCAGTATCTTCCACAACTAAAACATTAAAGATAGAGATTTTTTCCCACAATGAAATCTGTTCCTCAAAGATAAAAATTGAAATAAAGTCAAGTACAATGTTTCGAGAATTTGAGTATTTTTCGCGTAATGTTGCGAGAAATATAGGCAATTCTTAATTTTTGTATAATCAATTTTTTTCTCTAAAACGGCTCCATCGTTTGTGATGAAATTTGTTGGTTGATAGACAATAACGTTTAAAAATATTGTGCATGTCTGTTGATACTTATTTTTCGAGAATTGAAAAAATTCAAACGTTTTTCGGCGTCATCCCACATCTACAATTAAGAAGATACAATTTTTTTCTCGATGACAAAATTAGTCGCCCGCTTATTGATCGTAATTTTAGAAGTTTTGAGGCAGTTGGATGCTACGTATGTTAAAATGTGTATTGTATTTATATTTCATATTTCGTTGTTCGTTTTTTACGTAGAAGCTTTTGTTATACGTTTGCAAATTATTATTTTGGAAATTTTTCAAAACCTATTTCAAATAAATATGAAACAAAGATTACGAAACCTTCAGTCGCTTGATCCCAATTTACGTAGCTGGATGCAACGTACTTAGAATTTGTAAATTATATAATGTATTTTATTATAATTTAATATATTTATGTTATTTCATTTTAAATTGCGTCCTTTAATAAATTGTGTTAAATATGAAAACAAATTGATGAGTGGTAATTGTAGGTTATTTCATTGTCGAAACGTCGCGCCGCATAATGACGGCTGCTTTTAGTTCGTGGAAATAAAAACGAATACATTTAAATATTTGTAGAATATTACAGTACCATACTGTTTAATACTTACTATTACACATTTTTCGATCTATTTATGTACAAATGCTATCAGTATCGCATTATTTTTAACTTTTAAATACTTTACTTTTTTGCATTCTGCTTATTTTTCGCACCAAATGTTCTACGATTACAAATGAGTTTTCCCAAAAATTATTGAAAGAAATTGTGGTATAAATAGTATTATATAACCATTACTAATGGCGAGAAAGACGTAGAGTTTTAGCACCACTAGTTTTAAAATAGAAAAATCGTACAGAGGTGGCAGATAATAATGTATATTACATCAGATAATAGTACAGTTAGGTAGGTTAAAACAATTCTTCATGTAATTTTTGAAAAATAGTTTAGAAAATCTATTAAAAGTGAGAGCAGCGACGTAATATTTTATTTTAACTCAAATTACTTTCTTTAAAGCATTTATTTAAATTTTGGCATATTAGGAGTACGAAATTTAGCGTATTAATTATTTTTTGTTTTTCCATGTTTTAATATGTATGGTCTTGATGACATCGTTTGTCATGTGAAATTACCCGTTGGCTTGGGTATTTCCGTCCATAATTTTGAACTTCCCTACCCCTTCTTCTTGTCACAGTACTCTCAATCCAATAATCCCCCTTCTCTCTTGACATATTTCATTTCAAATATTGTCTTCAGTCATCGTTTGTATATTGTGATTACAGAGCGGACTGCCCTCTCTCCGAACTACATTTTAGTGTGCATTGGGTCGCCCGGACGCAGTGCAACAATGAAAAGAGGGGACGCGTACATTACGCATGCGCCTCCTGCGGTCGGAGCATTCGCGCGATTGCAAGAGACCGCCCCCCCCCTTGCCCTCCCCCCCGCGGGGCGAAGGCATAAAACACTGACCAACAGCGTTACCCTCCCGCACCCTCTCCACCGCCCCTTGATCAGCCACCGTCTGCCTCACGGTCTCCGTGGGCACTGTCACTATCCTTACGCATCCCTGTAATCGTCAACATTGCTGGCGTCAACGTCTGAATTCGCGACCAACGTCCGCGCCCGCCTTCGCCCACGTGGCGCCCTTTGTCGCCGCCGGGTCCGCCGCCATTTCCACTCGCATGGCCGCCGCCCGTATGATCACCCGCGCGCCCCGCGCCGGCCTAATGCCATTAGCCGCGGCCTGCGCCTCGAGGGGAGTTTTAACACTGCGCGTGCATTAGCGCGCCACTCGTCGGCGCCCGCCTGCCGACCGCTGCCGGGCCCTTCCCCGCGCGCTGCCTCTTATCAAAGGGGTGGGTCCGCAGGCCGCGGCTGGCTAAAACGCCTCAGCCAAGCCACTGACTCATACGATACGTTATTGACGTAACAATACTCACGTATTTTGTACTTTATTTGTGTTACCTTTCATTTATTTTTTAAAAAAATGTGGGTAATCAACACATTATCTCTCTCGAGAGTTTTGAGGAAGGTGTAGCTCGGAATGAGACAAGAGATATAGCGTAACTTACTGTTCATTCACAGCATCAGTCGCACTGTGAGGACATAATTATCTCGTATATTGTTGATTTTCCTTCATTTCAATTTAAGAGGCTGCATTATCCACATTGTCCTATTTCATAATATAAAACATTGTAATTGCTTGAGTTTCAGTAACAGTTACAATATCTTAATGAGTTATTTTCTAACCGGAGAACAAGTTTTGTAAAAAAGAGAAGCAAAGCATTTATGATGTACACTGAGAACACACCTACTCAACCTCGTTACTCGGGATGAAGTTAATATCGTGGAGCACGCAGGTATGTTAGCCCGTTTTCCATTATTCATCAGTTCCTATAATGCGTTTTTTGCACTTTCCTGCCTTCCTTCCATGTTTTGTCCCGACCGGCCCGAGGTCGGCAGTTGGCAAAAATTGCGAATTCACGAAGCGAAGTCGAATCGAGCGATTGGTCGAACCGAAGACGTGATCGCGCGGCGGCCGCCGGCGGCGAGTCCGGTTTATAGCCTTCCCCCCTCCCCCAGCCCCCTCCGAATTATCACCACGAGTATTGGGCATTGGAAACATCCTTATGAATTGGTTAAATTATGCGACGTGCAGGCAGTTTTGTAAAACAATATACAAATTATTACATTACACATGTGGATATACCATGAGAAAAGAGAGGAAACGAGAATATGGACTGACGGAAATGAGATATGCACCTATACGATGAAATATCTCTTCTCTTGCGTAAGAGACAGTCAGTTGCGAAGTACTGTACCGAGATAAATACATTTGCCTTCTTTCCACTCCAAATGATCCTCTCTATAGTGGTATCGAAAACATATCTTTAACGTAAAGGAGCCCATTAAAAACCATCTTTTACATTGGGGGTTTGAACAATAACCATTTAGAGAGCAAGTCAACCAACTTTTCTTTGCTTAGCTTAACTAAAAAACACTTTAAGAAACCCGTTGTCCCGTGTGCCTCATGCCATTCGGCCTGTCGTAAGTGAGCTTCAACGCCGCTCCGCGCTGCGCGCGGGGCGGGGGTGGGTAGGGGGCAGAGGCGCGGAGGTTTAGCGGGGCGGATAGGAGCGGAGGCGCGGGCGCGGCGTGGGGGAGCGGGGTGGGGTGGGAGGGGGAGAGGCGGGGCGGGTGTGGGGAGGGGAGCGGGGGAAGGGAAAGGGGAGGGGGCAGGGGGGCAGGCGCGGGGGGGTGAGGTGGAACGGGGCGGGGCGGGGCGAGGAAGGTGCGGGGAGCGGGGCGGGGCGTAATAGGAGAGAAGCGGGGCGGGTCGCGCGGGGGTGGGCGCGCGGGGTGCGCCGGCGCCGCGAGTGACAGGCGGCGCGGACGAGAAGAACAGGCGGCGCGAAGGGGCGCTGCAGGTGCGAGAGGCGTCGTGGGGACGGGGAGGGGCGGCGCCACCGCGGGGCTGCGCTCTCGATAAACAGGGCGGCTGCCGTCGGGTGGGCGGGGGTGGGTCGGCTGGGACCGTGGGACGGCCGGCGCGTTCACGAGCCCCGAGGGCCGGCGCAGCGCGAATAAAGAGCGCAGCGCCCGTGAGCCGGCGCCTTTCCAACTCGGAAAGATGCACCGCTATTTTAACGCGACTTTCTTTACTACGCCGGACGCAGTTTTGTTGCTATACACTTCGAAGGAAACACCCAACACAATATTATTGTATATTTGAAAAGAAAGCGAACGGCCGGAGTACTTTGTTCGCTTCTGTTATGAGAGTTAAAAGGTTTTAATAGTTCAGTTTTAGGTCGCATGAATTGTGTTAGAATTTTGTGAATGTTCTAGTATTTTCTTGCAATATATGCTAGTGAATTTTATTTCAATTATCATTTAAATCTAGTAAAACACAATTAACAAATTGCTTTTCGAATTAAATATTAACTACTCTATAACTTATGTCCGCGCCACCGCATACCAGCCCTGAGAAGACCCACGACAAGATGGTCGAACGTCGCAGACGAACCTTCGACGCGCCGCTCACCGTTCCGGCAGCCTAAGATCGATGTTACTTCTAACTAATCTATCTGAGAAAACATCAACTCGAAGCTCAGTTATTTAATAGGATTTGACATAAACAACTGTATATGGTTTTGAAATATTTTCTTTGGCATAAACAGCCTCATATTGTCATTATTGGAAATAACAAATTTACTTTATTAACAAGTAAAATTTCTATGTTGCGGAAGTAGCTTTATATTTGTTTGGTCTGAGAAGCAAATATGACCATCAG